GGTTTAACCAACTGAGCCACCCAGGCGCCCCAAGCATGTGACTTTTGATCTCACGGTCTGGAGTTTGAACCCCACCTTGGGTGTAGAGATTACTAAAGAAACAAGAACAACAAAACGCTAGATTAACAGCAGCAGGAGGAGACTAACAAAGTGCTTAGAATGTGCCTCCTTTAAACGACTATCCACAATGTTCCAATAACTGTGGCTGTCAAGTATTACAAAAGTTCTGAGGCCTGAACTATAATCATACAGCATTAGGCACGAGGTAAAATAACCTAAAAGTTTTGTGGATTCTTGTAGCCTCTCTTGGCTGTCCTCAAGGCCATTTTTGTGCAGAGAAAAAAATAAGGACATAGGGAAGGGATATCTCCTTCAAATTATGGGAACTTTATGACCCAGCCAGTATTCCTGTTCAATGGAATGGTGGAAAGTCTTCATTATTCACTTAATTTTTTTAAAAGATTTTATTTATTTGAGAGAGAGAGAGAGAGCACAAGCAGGAGAAGCAGCAGGCAGAGGGAGAAGCAGGCTCCTCACTGAGCAAGAAGCCTGATGTGGGACTCGATCCCAGGACCCCGAGATCATGACCCAAGCCGAAGGCAAGACACCCAACTGACTGAGCCACCCAGGCGCCCCTATTCACTTAATTTTTGACCACTGAGGCAAGGAGCCCTTCCTAGAGCATAAGAAGAGATGGTAAAGTCAATGTAGGGGATTTCCTAAAAACAGGAAATTCAAATCTTTTACTTTAAATTATATTTTTAAAAATTTAATAAGGGGGGCGCCTGGGTGGCTCAGTCGTTAGGCATCTGCCTTCGGCTCAGGTCATGATGCCAGGGTCCTGGGATCAAGGCCTGCATCGGGCTCCCTGTTCCCCGGGAAGCCTGCTTCTCCCTCTCCCACTCCCCCTGCTTGTGTTCCCTCTCTCGCTGTGTCCCTGTCAAATAAATAAAATCTTAAGAAAAAAATTTAATAAGGTATAAATGATAAAGTATATATTTAACATACAATTTGATAGGTTTTAACAGTTATATATATGTTTGAAACCATCATCATGGTTTTGTTTTGTTTTTTGAGAAAAATAAAGCATGAACAGATGAGGGGGGAGGGAGGGAGAGAATCTTAAGCAGGCTTCACAGTCAGCGTGGAGCCCAATGCAGGGCTCGATCTCAGGACCCTGAGATCACGACCTGAGCCAAAATCTGGAGTCAGACATTTAACTGACTGAGCCAGGTGCCCCCATCATCATGTTTATAATGAACTTACCCATCACCCCCATGTTTACCTCACATTCTTTAATGGTGTCACTGTGCCCTGTAGCCAAATATTGATTTACCTTTCATTACAATACATTAGTTTGCATTGTCTGAAACTTCATATACTTAAGGTCATTAAATGTTTACTTTTTCCCTTTGGGTGCCTTCAGTGACATATTTCTTTGAGATTCAACGATGATGCTTATATGAATAGTTCAATCTTTTTATATTGCTGAGTATTGATGTTCTGTAGATATACCACTTATTTGTTTACTCATTCATCTGTATGAATTGTTTCCAGTTTTTGACTGTTGCAAGTAAAACTGCTATAGAGGTTCAAATCATATGGATATGTTTCATTTTTCTTCTTTTTTTTTTTTTAAGATTTTATTTATTTATCTGAGAGAAAGAATGGGAGACAGAGAGAATGAGAGAGAGAGAGAGAGCACATGAGAGGGGGGAGGGTCAGAGAGAGAGGCAGACTCCCTGCCGAGCAGGGAGCCCGACGTGGGACTCGATCCCGGGACTCCAGGATCATGACCTGAGCTGAAGGCAGTTGCTTAACCAACTGAGCCACCCAGGCGCCCCATCATTTTTCTTCTTTTAATACTTTAGAGTGAAATGTCTGAGTTACAGGGTTAATGGATATATAACTTTTTAACAAATTCCATACTGCGATCTAAAATGGTTGTTTTCTTTTGTATTCCTAACAGCAGTGTTGGGGACCTCCAATTCTGCCATATGCTTGGCAGTAGTGGGTATGGTTAATCTTTTTAAACCTTTAATCCTTCTAACAATTGTATAGCAGAATCTCACTGTGGTTTTAAATTGCATTTTTTTTTACAAAGATTTCATTTGAGAGAGAGCACGACCTGGGGGAGAGGGAGAAGCAGGCTCCCTGCTGAGCAGGGAACCCGACATGGGGCTCAATCCCAGGACCCTGGGATTATGGCCTGGGCTGAAGGCAGATGCTTAACGGACTGAGCCACATAGGTGCCCCCTAAATTGCATTTCTCAGATATTTTTTGATGTTGAGCATTTTTTCATTTGTTTCTTTGCCAACTGTATATCTCTTTTGGTAAAAATGTCTTTTCATACTTTTGCCAAGTTTTTAAGATGCATTTGCCTTTACAAATAAGATAGTGAAACAACAAAGACTTATTCAGAACTTCATTCTTTAGTGATGTGGCTTTTTTGCAGTAAGGAATCATTCTTTTTGAATACCAGAAGACTCTTTCCTCTATCTTCTTGTGCTATACACGATGCAGAGGCCACATACATCATATACTTTAATCTGCATTAACATATTCTCCATCACTTAAGTCTAGATATCCAACAATAAAATAAATCAAGCCATGATTTGTAGTGTTTGCAATTTCCCCAATACAAATATTCCCAGCATGGCCGACTTAAAACTGCCAGTGTGATATTATTGAACATGGAGTTCAGAGTTGCCAGTAGTAGACCAATATATTTTATTTCCACCATAGCAATCCAGTAGCCACAAATAACCTCCAGAAAGTAGAAAAAAATGTAGCAGACTGACTAGGAAGGTAGACGTTTTTGTATCTCTTTAAGCACTTTCATTTTGGTACAACTGCATAAAAAAGCTGAACATATTTCAAATGTACATTTTAATATTTTGCTACAGGCTTATACCTGAAACCAAAAGTTTCCTATTACCCCTCCTTTTTCCCCTGTTACCCTTTTTAACTTCTTCTCAACATATAAAATTACTGATACAATAACATATCTTTTGTTATGGCTGTTTTTCAGTCTATACAAAAATGGAAAAGACTGAAGCCAGATGTACCCTTCTCCAATCTTCCACCATTATCACTTCATGGCCCCTCTTGTTTCATGTACGCTAGTGGGTGTACTTTTAATTTTTTAAAAGAAAGCTCTATGCCCAACATGGGTCTTGAACTTATGACCCCAAGATTATGAGTCACATGCTTTACCAACTGAGCCTGCCAGGTGCCTTTCTTTTCTTTCTTTCTTTTTTTTTTTTTTTTTAAGATTTTATTTATTTATTTGAGACAGAGAGAATGAGAGAGAGAGAGAGCACATGAGAGGGGGGAGGGTCAGAGGGAGAAGCAGGCTCCCTGCCGAGCAGGGGGCCCGATGCAGGACTCGATCCAGGGACTCCAGGATCATGACCTGAGCCGAAGGCAGTCGCTTAACCAACTGAGCCACCCAGGCGCCCCTCTCAGACATACTTTTTAATACATAATCTCTTCAGACTGCATTTTTAAAATTTGAGGGCTCCTTCATAACCCAAATAACTATCACACAAAATAAAAACACTTTAAAGTATGGCAAATACATTACCCATCAGTATTCTCAAAATGTGCTTAAGGCAGATTTACTGCAATCAGGAGCAAAATGTATCCTGACAACTTTCTGTAGTTATGTCTGTTAGCCCCTATCTATGTCCGACCTACCTTTACTCTTATTATTCATTGAATTTGCTGAGACATTTGCTCATTACAGTTGCCACTTTCTAGATAAGACTTATTGAGTCTCTGACACTGTCCAACTATATAGTATTGAGACAGGTAATGAGGTTTGCCCCTGTAGACATGTGTGATGGTGACTGTTGGGGACATAAAACAGAATCTTCTCCCACCTACAGATACTCTCCAGACATAGGAGAGACAGAAAATATTTCATTGCTGAATAAGCATTAAATAAAAATCATATGCACATCATGGGCAATGTTTTCAGAATTGCAAAGCAGAAAATCCCCCTATTTAGCTAAGCAATTACATCCCATTACATACACATTTTTTTTTAAAGATTTTATTTATTTATTTGAAAGAGAAAGAGAGGCAGAGGGAGAAGCAGACTCCCTGCTGAGCCTGATGTGGGGCTCGATCCCAGGACCCTGGGATCAGGACCAGAGCCAAAGGCAGACACTTAACCAGCTGAGCCACCCAGGCGCCCCTACATACACATTTTGAAGATAAACAATAACTATTCATCCATCTCTAATAGTCACGCCATGCTTGTTCACTGGCTGAGAGCAGCCTACCCAGTGGCTTCTGGAATACTACAGCAGGATCCTGCATGAAGGGAGAGCCCAGCATCACACTTCCATAGCTGCCCAACACTGAAACTATACCGTTAACATCTGAATAATTTTAAATACAGTTTGGACAGAGTAGAGGCAGAATAACCCTTTGACAGGTTTATCTCTTAGTTTCTGAAATTTCCATCTCATTTCTTAAAAGCATCAAAAGTAGGTCTAGTCTAAAAGTAAGGAAATTGGCCCTGAAAAAAACAAAGAACCAAAAATCTGCTAGTCAATAAAGAGAATTGGGCATTACTCTTTGTCACACATGGTTCTTCCCAAATTGGGTTGACTGTTTCACGTAATTGCCTTTACTCACAGGTAAAACAAACATACCCTTATGATGGGATGTAGTTTTGTAAATTGGAACAAGGTGCCCCCCCCAAAAGAGGCTCCTAACCCTCCCGAAGGGCCTGTACCATCCCCTTTGATACATGCTTCTCAAAAGGAAAGCTCTCAGTGTGTTTTTATTTTAAAGAGGTGGATCCCAGGTATTTGAGGAAGACATTCCTGTTCATAAAGCTGAAAAAAAGGGAGAGACCTATCTGTCAAAAAGGAGATGCAGAATTGTAAGTTTCCTAAGGTAAATGAGAATAGGGAGGGGAGGAGAAACACCTCATTTTCAACAGAGAATTAAGACTCTTAATTTGTAGTTTCTTTACATGACATACCTGGAAAGACACCAAGTGTAACTGTTTTCCTAGCACACAGCTCCATAGTCTGGAATCAAACATTTCAGGTATCAGACGTGACCAGTATGTGGAAATGATACTGCAGCATGGCCTGGAGATCCAAGTGAATCTGTAGCGCCCTGTGTGACAGATGTGGCTTTTAGGAAAGGCTCGATCCAGATCTGGTCTAGCCTGTATTAACACAAATTGATCAGAAAGAACTGTAATATAGGGGCGCCTGGGTGGCTCAGTCGGTTAAGTGGCTGCCTTCGGCTCAGGTCATGATCCCAGGGTCCTGGGATCGAGCCCCACGTCGGGCTCCCTGCTCGGCGGGGAGCCTGCTTCTCCCTCTCCCTCTGCCTGCTGCTCTGTCCACTTGTGCTCTCTCTCTCTGTCAAATAAATGAATAAAATATCTTTAAAAAAAACCAAACTGTAATATAAGAAAAGAATTGTTTTGGGTGCCTGGGTGGCTAGCCGGCTAAGCATCCGAATCTTAGCTCAGGACATGATCTCAGGGTTGTGAGATCAAGCCCCACATTAGTCTCTACGCTCAGTGGGGAGTCTGCTTGAGTGTCTCTCTCCCTCTCCCTCGGCCCCTCCCCTCTGCACGGGCATGCATGCTTTCTCCCTCTCATAAATCTTTAAAAAATAAAAATGGAATGGTAATTAAATTTTGTTATTATATGTAATGATTTCTCTGGCTAATTAGCTTCCATAGATATTACATCTTGTGATGGTTGTTACTCTGACTCTCAAAACATTTGGTCATCAATATCAACATTAGTACATTTTTTGTTAACATTAGGCAATTCTAATTTGAGTTGCAAAGCTAGTATCACAGCATATACCCATAGAGTTAGGATGAAAAGTTCTCTGGTTAAAAAATAAATCGAGCATTAGAGAGTTGTTTTGTGAACCTTCCCAACAAAATCTTACTTTTCCCATTTCCAGATGTCAGTTTTTATAGGTGTAGCCACATAGGCCAAGATGGACCAAATTCAGGATTCCACTATTGTTTGGGCCATAACCATGTATTTTGCCTGAATTCACAGATATCAGTAGATATTGGAATCCATAAGAATCACTGATTCGGGGCGCCTGGGTGGCTCAGTCAGTTAAGTGTCTGCCTTCGGCTCAGGTCGTGATCTCAGGGTCCTGGGATCGAGCCCCGCATCAGGCTCCCTGCTCACTGGGGAGCCTGCTTCTCCCTCTCCCACTCCCTGTTTGTGTTCCCTCTCTCGCTGTGTCTTTCTCTGTCAAATAAATAAATAAAATCTTTAAAAATAAAAAAAAAAAATCACTGGCTATTAAGGCTAATCTTCCTCCATCTGGAAGAATCCTGGTGGTATTTATAACAGTTCCTTTTCCTGATGCTGGATACTGGGGGAGTTCTTGGCCCTGAGACGTCAACCACCAGCAGGTGCCAGGTTCTTGACTTCCCCGCATGAAAGAATTCAGGAACCAGTCAGAGTAAAGTATAGCAGAAGCAGCTATTGCAAAGCAAAAGAACACACTTGAAGGGAGGGGGAGTGCAGGCACAGAGGATCTGAGTCGTGCAGGATAGATGTGGGGTTCTGCTTTTTATGAATAAATAATTTGGGCAGGGAATATTCATGTGGGGTTCTGGGGATTAAGCAGGGATTTTTGAGAACTCTGCATATCATTGTGCATGCTCTATGCTAGTTATTAATTGCAGATGCAGTCTGCTTTTTCTGTTGCGGATACTCCATATATAATCAAGATCTACTAGGAGTCCTCTAGTGCCCCCAATGGAGGGTTCATTCCCAAGTCATTTTGAAGCTAAGTGAGTCTATATGCACATGCAGGCCATGGGCTTGAGCAATGACAAGATGCTTGTGGGCATGAGAAATCTGAGCGGGGCGCCTGGGTGGCTCAGTCGGTTAAGTGACTGCCTTCGGCTCAGGTCATAATCCTGGAGTCCCGGGATCGAGTCCCGCATCGGGC